TGTCAAAGACCTAAGCTCGGATCGCATGGCTTTTGATTCTAATTGTTTATATATAATATTTATAAATAGAAACGTATAGAAATGGGATAATATATAGCAATACATGTAAAAACTTACGGTTTCATAATTTCAACATCCATTGTAATTACCTCTTCTATGTTGTCAGTATCCATTTCAATTTCCTCTTCTATGTTGTTTCCTTTTTCTTTTTCTATAACAGAATTTGCTTGCTCTTGTATATCTTCCGTTATTGTGTCCTTTTCTGCTTCTGCATCCATTTCTATTTCACTGCAAAAAGATTTTAAGTTACATAATTTACTATATTAATACAAAATCAATAATACATGATGTTTGAAAATAATATTTTTAAGATGTCATTATATATGTTCTTATTTTGAACATGTGTGCTGACTGAATATGTTTGTATAAAATATTATTACATTTTAAAACAACGAAAAAGAAACTGCAATGAAATTGATAGCAATCTAAAACATAATTATATAACCTACATTGTTTTAAAACATGATGCTAAATCTTCTCCAAATCTTGTGGGTATGGCATCAGGATGAAGAAGAATTCTTCTTTTATTAATCCTAAACCATTTCTCCTCAAAATGCAAAGAGCATAATCAGCAATTTCTATACGAATATTCAAGTCCTTTTTCTTTTAAATCTAGTCTTCCACTTGCTTGTACCCATTGCAACCATCTGTTATTACAATGTATTAAACATTATAAATTTATGTAAAAAAATATAACGTAATTAAAAAAACTAAAAATACTGTTATAAAATAAAATGAAAAACCTGTCATGTTCTTTTGGAAATCTAAATACATGTCTTCCTTCCAATTGAAGATTTCCAGGACATCCTGTTATTGAACAGGTTTTAGTTTTTTTTGCACTCATTTCTTTACTACTTCTGTTTTCTTCTGCATCTGAAACAGAGCTAAGATCAAAGTGTTTTCTGCAAGAGAATTGAAAATCTGAACAATATAATATATGTACAGATCTACAATTCTCTTTAAGGATAAATGTCACTTCCTTTCTTGCTTTCCCTTCACTTCACTTCACATCACTTCACATCACTTCACTTCACATCACTTCACTTCACATCACTTCACTTCACATCACTTCACTTCACTTTATTTCACTCCTCTTTAAATATCTAAATTATCTAAAATATCAATTGAACGACATAACC